TTAACATCTTATATTATGACTGATTCGTTAACATTTTGAAAACGAAAACTCACATATTATAAGATTAATTTCTGATTGATCAACTGTTTATTGAATTAGGGATGCCATAGTTCAATGTGCAGTGTCAATCTTCATCATCATATGGTGATACAAAAATTATGTTCTAAAAAGAAAGCTTGAAAAACTGGCAATCTGCCATAAGGACAATTCGACGATATTTATAGATCAGTCATAAAATTATTTTTGGCGTGTCGAGAATCTTTTCATATCTTAATTAATGAGTCTGATATTTCCAAGATTTCCATCAATTTATCATAAGTGCAACTAAATGTCAATGTCTAAGTGAGAAGATATCATATTAATAAGAGCGGGAATATTCTTCATTGGATTCTGACGACAAGATGGCGTTGAATTGATCATAGTGGTCAAGTATTTAGAACAATTTGATAATGTAAATCGGACATTTGGTGAAGTTTTGAAACTCGCTTTGGCGATGTCGTTTAGTGTTGGTATAGTTATATGTATATAGCTAATTTTGTGTCAGACACAATGTCGAATGTAACATTAACTCTTTGGCTAGAGGTACAGTATTTAAGATTGCCATAGATACGTATATAGAAGGAAAAAGTTTTAAGTATAAAGCGGGTATTTGAAGGCTAGATTTTTATAAAAAAAGTTTATTTCAAATATTGAACCAGTAAGATACCTTATTTGACCAAAAATCAGAGATAAGCTTAAGAAAACTTGACAGCTTGGCCAAAAAAATTAAACGCCTGCAGTCAGCCTTATTTAACGATACGTTATACATATAACCTAAAAATTATAGAGTAGGCATTCTGATGCCTTATGCAAAAAGTTAAACACCATTGTGACACGCCTGTCGGTCTAGTTCTTAGAAATTCAAACTGCCGAGCCAGATCGTTCGAATTACATGCATACGTAAATATTTACATTTACCAAAACACAATGACCTGGCCTGTTGGTCTAGTGGTTAGTGGGCCTGACTGCTACGGCAGAGGGGGTTCCATTATTTGTTTGATGAGCACGGTCATTTGTGTGTCTGGGTGTACTTTATCTATAATATGTATGTATTTAGAAATATATAAGTATGTTTATCAGCAATCTGGTTATCATAGTACAGGCTCTGCCAAGTTTGGGATCAGACGGCCGTGTGTCACATCACACACCAACAGCCTTTAATAGTCGACTAGTGGACATAAGCCTCTCCTTGAAATATGACAAAAATATTATTATAAGTATGTTTATTAACGGTTAGGTCATGCTACCTTGTGTTAGTTGTTCCAAATTATTATTACTAAACCTATTTATTATACAAAACTTGGCGCTTAAGGTTTTTGGTCAGACTTAAGTTCTCTTAAATCTAGATGCAAAATAAAATGGAGTTGAGAGTTGGGATGATCAGAACGTGCTCCACAGTATGAATATAGCAAAATAATATGTATTGCTACCTATAGTAAAAAAAATTGCCCTATGTTTGGCAGTTCTAAATCAATTGCAGGAGGAACTCAAATCTCTTAGTCCCTTTTTCTAAAGGAGATAAACAGGGATATTAAGAGGTGTTAAGTAAATAATCGTGGTCTTTAGTAAGTACTGCAAAAGCATTTTGTATAACATAAGTCTGCGGATACTTTTTAGTACATTGTATTAGAGTCGACTATAAAATTAATTACATTTAAGTTCACAGTTTATTTATTTGATTAAAACGGCTTAAAACCAATTACGTTTAAGAGTAACAATTGAAATTTCTTAAAAGTATACTTAAAATTATTTTGTACATAGGCGGATCTAATGCCACTGGATCCTATGCCAGCCAATCTTTGCGGGATAAAAGTAAATTCTTCAGTCTTTAATTATCATCGGATTTAAAGAAAAAAACCGGGAATAAAACTTCAGGTCGGTTCATTAATAACTGAGGTAACAAGCCAAAATCTATATAACCTTATTGAAAAACTTTGTTTCAATTTTGTTAAAAATTGGAAATATTTGTTGTTAACGAGTAGTGCTCGCCAGTTGCTAGAGCCTGGATCAATTTTGTTTTCGTCAACTGATATCAAATTTACTTTGCATCAAAGATATTTTAAACCCACTTTTTAAGAACTAAAAGGTTCTTGAGACACGATATATAAGTCAGACTCAAAACTGGATAAGATATCCTAGCAAAGCTGAGACTTGATGTTATGTTTATGTCCAGCATATTATACTCTTTAGCTGACTTTTGTACAAAATACAAACAATAATACTTATTAAATAGTAATTTATTTAGCTGCATGGCCGTTAAACTTAGTCGGCCAAAATTCCGCAATTATTTATTTGTGCAATAGGTTAATTATATCTTAGCATTAATTTATTGATAATTATCAAGGCTTAGCCAAATCTATGTTATGTAATTGATGTGTACTTATTAATGTTTATAAGTAACAATTGTAATTAAATGTTTCACTGCCAAACAACCAACATAAATATATACAAAGCTGAAAATTAATGTGTTAAGAATACAAAAAAAAATGTTATTTAGGCAAATATATATTTTCAGCTACTACCTACACTTACAAAAAGTTTAATATATTGATTTTATTGTGGACCCACTGCCGAGTTCAAATTTCTATTGCGTTGTGCAGAAAATAATTAATCCAAAATCCTGGTCAAAGTTGTTGTACCAATTAGCTTTCTAAAAAGGCTTTTTAATCATTAGGTAAAAAGTTTTTGTATTTCTAAAATATTATAAAATAAAGTTCTTTGTTAATTGGGTACTTTGCGCATAACACGCATACATAAGTCACGCAAATCACAGGTACATAGTAAACATACATACAGATTTCTGTTTCAAATTAGAACTATGTATATGTCTTGGTGGCATTTGGTAGTAGGTATATAAAAATATGCCGTTCAATAATTAAAATTAAATTAAAAAGACTAACTGTAAATCGTTGTTGGAATTGATAACAATCATTATAATATAATTAACAAATAATTATGTAACATGTTTGTTGGTTTTTATAATAAAATTAGCCGGTAGTCTGATCATGCTCACGGCATGTGCAGGTTGGCGCGGAGTTGCTAAATTTCGTTCGCGTCGTACAAACTAACATAAACAAACTTCTTACCGTGGCAGAGCCATGCTCCGGCAAATGTGGGGCCGACTAACTGGAATGTATAGTAATTCTTGCGTTGTTTATTACCGTGTAAATGAGGTTATCGGAGGCTCAACCCCGCCGCCCCTCGAGAGCAGGCAAAATTGCCAGCAAACGCCATGCGCGCCATTGCGTGAGGTGACAGCTCATGTACAAAGGAAAGTCAAATTCGATAAACTTTATCTACAGTACTTTATCTCATGTACCCTCTATATATGAAAAAAAAAACGAGCCTATATATATATTGTATATAGATTCACGATGTTATCTAAACATATATATTTTGAGGATATCATAATGAGGATCGGTACATGGTGTGGTCCAGACACTTCCACAAACCAGTCATTTAGTGATTTCGAATATTTTAATACAATAATACCACTCGCAATCTCGTCGTCTTATAATTTTGGTTTATTTAAATATTTGCTATTATATTCGTAAAACGGAAGATATTCTATTTCTATAATACTTTTAATATCGAGGTGATGGACGAGTCGAATCTAACTGAATACAGACACTTTTAGTATTTTGCAGTTACGTACGTTGTTATGAAGTTTAGCAATATTACTGGCTCTTATGAAAGGTAGAATGCTGCTTAGCATGCATAGATTATCGGCTTGAGGCTAAATTAAATTTATATTGAATGTAACAATGTAGTAACAAAGATGTTTCTAATTCGACGCAGACATTGATGTCACAATACACTTTTCATATTTAAAATTGGCAACAGATATACATATATATAGGACTCCATAAAACCACTTTTCCTAGTCACACATCGCTTAGACAAACTATTATTATAAATTGTTGAAGGTTTATGGATGTTCACAATGACCTCTGCAGGTAAAACAAAAAACAAAATTTAAGGTAAGTCACCAGCATCTGGTAGTGACTCAGCTAGCACCGAATTAGAAACTTCAGTGTTTTTGTATAAATTCTAGACATAGTTCTAAGTGGCAGCCCATATTTATACTTACTTTTCAAGCGATGTTAAACTTAACAAACATTCCTGATAATTGTGTCATTTTTGAAGGAACGAATATATAGTCATATATTTTGCCAAACCTTTTTTTTATTTTAACACTTATTTTATATTTACAGTTATATCGTTTTGGTGTTTCAGGAGTGCAAGGAAGACATGGTTCAATGTAAAAGAACCAATATGAATTAATGTGTTATTCTTCCATGATACCTTTAGACCTGTCCAATTTTCTGTCTCTCAAAAATAATATATTTTCCCTGTTCTTGTAACAATTGGATATTGATGCCCAGCTCCTATTAGTCGTTGTGTGATGTTATATAGCTTATAGTCATCCTTGATAGATGGGCTATCCAACACTATCATTTTTTTCAACTCGAATCTGCAGTTGCTGAGATTAGCGAGTTCAAGCAAATAAACTCTTCAGCTTTATAATATTAGTATGTGTTTAGCCCGTTAGTAAAAATATAAACTGAAATGATCAACTGTCTGTGATAATTGGAAAGTCAAATTTTGATAAACTATCTATAGTGTAAGACAGATTTGTTAACAACCAGCGGTTATTAGCATTTCGATGGCTTTCCTAATTTCACCAATCAGATCCGGATCCTTAGGTTAAATTATATAGGTTAATCGGTTAATCTGAGTCTCAAATTTTCCTTACTTATTTTTTGTGTTACAGCAGAAACATATCTTTATTCTTACATCTTTTATGAATCAAGCAGCCATACTATTGAAATATCTTTTATCAAGCATGATGATTTGTTTTTCTATTGACCAGTTTTAATGATATAAGTCCATGGCCAGCTTATTCATTTCTAGACATGGATCAAGAATAAGTTGCTTTATTACAATAATGTTATAAAACTTCAGTCGTCTAATAAAGGAATTATGTAAAATTCTGAAAACATTTGTCTTTGGTCTTCTTTTTCTAGCTTCAATTGGAGTAAGAGTAGACCATTGGAACTGCATCTCAATACCACCTACAAAAGAAGAGACCATTCTTAGTTATGTAGAGAATATCGTGTATTTAGATATACAAGCACTCATCAACGGCCTTTAGTAGTCCACTACTGGACATCTGTCTCATCTTAGAAAGGAGGTTTTGGTCTACTATACCACGCTGGCCAGACGGTTTATAGACGGTATAGGGTTTGTTTAAAGTTTTCCTTTTCTTTGTAATGTTGTTGTCCTTCGAGGTTTGCTCGGGTATTACGACACCCACCCATTAATACATATAAATCTTTATTTCCTCAAACCACTACACACAGAGTTTCAACCATGATACGACAAAACAATACATACATATGAGTATAATCATTAAGTCAATACATTTTTTTCTTTTTTTAAAGACAACAACATGAAACGACACAAAGAACACCCATACTAAACAACAATTTGGGGATCACACAGTGTTGTCCCATGTAGGGTACGAACCTACAACACTCAGCGCAGTACGAAGCAGCGAGGTGAGCGCTTAAACTACTACGCCATACGTGCAGTCAATAACTATACCTATTTAAAATATAGCTTATTTTCTGTATCCCAACTAACCTGTATTATAAGTGTTAGATTAAATGTTACGATTTTTCTTAACTATGTCATTGTAGTTGAGTAAAAGCGTAACGCCAATTATCATACAATTTTTCTGGCTACAGAAAAAGACAAGACACCTGCCAGGTACCATCCATAAAACAAAACACACACAAAACCGCGGCCAAACGAATTTTGAGTTGCAGCTGTACATGGGCGGAGGTAGTCACTTACCATCAGATGACCCGTCTGTTGGTTTGCCCCCTATTGCAAAAAAAAAATAAAACGAACCTTCGTTGATATAGCGAGTGCCTTCATTATAAGACGAATATGATGTAATTGATACTTCAATGTGATAGGTTGTTCACAACTGAAGCTTTGCACCATGTCCGATGATTTTGGCATGTCAATACATGAACGATCCTGGAATAATGTAGGTAGTTAAAGTTATTTATTTCTGAACAAATTACAGATAACAAGCTGACCCGCGGAACTCCGTCGGCGTCTCTCGAAAGAAATAAGTTTGCCCCCCTTTTTGCATTTGTCATTGATGCTCGGGTCCTTCGGGCCTTCCTCGATAAATGGGCCAACACTAATAATGTTTCAATTCGAACCAGTAATTTCTAACACCAACTACCAGACAACCAAACAATCTAATAATATTAGTAGATATACATCCACTTCCAACCAGCCTTCTTTAATTGAGGGAGGCCTATGTTGTGCAGTGGATGTCCTATGACTAGATGATCTCCTTAGGTTTGGGTACAATTCCATCATGTTAAATGCGGCTGTAACATAATGCCTAAAGCTTTGGATTTTCGAGCAAAGTTTTGAATTTCATTTACTACACTGCCAATCCGCTCCCAACACAATCATTTGGATCAATTGGAACAGTTAAGGACATATTTACCATAACTTATTTGCGTAATAATGGATCTTGTAGTGTGCAGACCATTAAAGCATTCACTTTATATTATATGAAAACAATATGAAGTAAAATTAGATAGATTAGATTGAATATTTAGATTTAACTACCTGCAGTCAAGTCTTTAAAATATGTTGTTTTAACATGTCATCAGTTACCTGCATTCCATAAGTGACTATGCTAACATTGGGATGTTCTGGGGACAGGTTCAACTCAATAATATCACACGACCTCTCTAAATCTGCCAGGAGGCCTAAGAACGCAGGTGCTTTTAGAACCAATTTGGCGACTTCCTCTGCATCCTCATCTCGTAGTTCTAGCACTGAATCCGCTGTCTGTGTAGATATCTCACAATCTGTCATTACATTGTTTACCGATGTAGGCTGTAGGCTGGAAATTAAAAAACAGTATTGATTAAGGTAACACGCATATGATTATTGTAATCGTAATGATAGGACAAACTTCAAGATTCACTTAGTGACATTTATAATTCATCCTGAAACATGGTCATTCAAGTAAGTGCCTTCATCAACATAGTTTAGAAAAACATAATGATTGAATCTTATAATACAAATCTGGGCATTTAACCTCTGCCTACCCCTTCGTGGATGTAGGCGTGAATATACATATGTATGAAACTCACACCAAGAGCAAAGGTGATCCTTCACCCCTGTAGTACATCTTCAAACTTGATTCCTCTAGAGACCCAAAAATATTGAGGCACTCTGCCAATACTGCTATACTGATCTGAAAACAGTAATCTTGACACGAGACGGCCAATTCTCGTTTTATAAAAGTTCGGCCACAATTCAGTTCCGATCAACTCCCGACCTCGCAACTGTCATTAAATGTATTTTCGTAGTAAAGTATTAAACAATGTTGACTGTAATGTGATCATTTTTGAAGTTATTTCAAACAAAAGAATGCATTTTTGAGATGGGAAAAAACCATTGAACTCGCGACACTGATACCGTTACCGACACCTCTATATATAAGTAATATTTTTTTTATGCGAATAGGGAGCAATCGAGCAGACGGTTCACCGAATGGAAAGCGACTACCGCCGACCATGAACGCCTGCAACTCAGGAGTCCCAAGCACGTTGCCAGCCTTTTGAGGAAGGAGCACGCGTATTAAAAATAACAAGACAAGTATCTACATATATTGGCCCTGTTTACTGTTTGAGTTGAGTTTGGGTTAAAATACATTGATAATAAAACTATATATAATTGAAACATTTATTTTGTATATACGTACAACATAGATATATATTCATGTCGGAAATTTTCGAGTCGAAAACAACTTTTTTTTTCTGTCATCATCAAAAAATTTTAAATTTTCAAGTATTGACTTCTGTCGGCAGTCCCGTATTGCCACTGTTTTCTTTTTTATTGAAGAGGGACAAACGAGCAGACGAGTCACATTATGGAAAGCGACTACCGCCGCCCATGAACGCCTGCAACTCAAAACTTGCTTTATCGTATTGTAACCGAAAATTTAATCGGCTGGTCTTAGTAAAACTTAACTATTTTACTATGAAGAGTAGATTTCTAGAGTTGATTGAAACCGAATTTTGACGAACTTTTATTACGAGAACTGAATCAAGAATCAAGTTTCTCATAATTCATGTGAATATAAATAACAGTCATTTCAAAGCTCCTAAAAATATGACTGATGGCTCATTTGATTCGGAATGACGTCTAGAAAAATGTATCGAAAGTATGATTAATAACAAATGAAGATATTCTGTATTAAATCCATTATCACATTGACAATTATTACATAGCCTACCTTAAACATTACATCGACATCATCTCTGACATGATATTCAGCAAAGTTATCAGAGGGTACATAGGCAGAGGCTTGCACACATTTACCCTCTTCCACAGTGAGCTTCAAACCTTCAGGTAGAGCACAGAATACAGCAGACTGTAATATTAGTACAAATAAAAAGTAATAATAATAATTACTTCACACATCTCACACATGCTAGTCTGATCCCAAACTTGTAACCAGAGTGCATACAATAACACTTACTTACTTGCACTGCAAACATACTTAAACACTAGCTGGTACCCGTGACTTTGTTTGGGTGGAATTTGAAAAGCGGTCTTAGTGGGTTCGATTACCGGATCGGATGAAAGAAACCTATTCTTTTGACATTACAAACAGACACTTTTCAGAATTTTATTTATTTGTATAGATATAGATTTCTAAATACACATATATTACAGATAAAATGGCACTTAGACACAATAAATGAATGTGCTTATCATCCAATTATTTGACCTGGTGAGAATAAAACTCATGATCTCTGGTTTAGCAGTCAGAGTCACTAACCACTAGACCAAAAGGCCCATCATACACAAACTACACCTAACAATACAAAACCGAGCAACATGCAGATTTGAGAACTATCGGTTGTTAGTGTTAAATATCCACAGATTTCCCAACCTACTGTAGGGTTTCCTACCTTTGCCTATATTCAATTATATGTCTAATTTCTAAGGTGACGGTGACAATACTCATTGAATGTGTGAAACACATGTGGCATAATACTTGGTAAATCTGCAAAAAATACAGTAATACAAGGTTTATCATCATCAACAGCCTTTAATAGTCCACTAGTGAACATGGGCCTCTCTATAGAAAGGTTTCAACCTACTATAAGTAGCTATAGGGTTTGTTTCAAGTTTTCCATCTCTACAGTCCTGTGTAGTTTGCTCCCTTAGTCGGCTGTTATGACACTCATGGGATAAATAGGGGTGGTGACACTCTGTATTCTTAATCTGTCACCACACACACAAATAATAATACACCACCTTTGTGTTACCTTACACACACTTCTACTGTATACTGGCATAAATAAATTAAAAAATCTGAGTAAGTGACATTAAGGAATTGCATATCTGACCATCACATTACACAGGTTAATAATTTATGTATCCACCTACCTCTTGAAATTGTATAGCTTTTAACAAACTACACAAAGTTTTCCCAGAGTCCATAGACGCTGTAAAGTAGTATTGTGATGTTCCTTCATCCATTGTTTTCTTCAATATCGTACATAGAGCGTAATAACATCAAATATTGATCTTGGGTGACTTCGTGTTCTGTTATACGACCAAGAATTAAAGCTATTCTAGCGGCTAGGACGTGTTTACAAAACACTTGAGATTTATGCTCTAATACTTGGTGTTTAAATGAATAGCACGGACAATAGTTGATACGAGGAAACACTCTATAACAGCGGTCGTTTTCCCCTTTTATTTCCAATAGGACTCTCAATTTATTCTTAGTAGTATAGGCAGTAAATGACGGATGTTTCTCCAAAATATCCAGAGATCTTTCTAACACGTTTCCAAACACTGAATGCAGAGTTAGCAGTTCCTCGTCCAAAACTTAAAAGAACGGCAATGGTGTTATTAAGGTATGGTGATAATTATATCATTAAAAAATTACCAAAGAACTAACGATCTTTATTATCGAGTTCAGCAACTCGTTTTTCTATTTTCCCTAAAATGCTTTCAGCTACTACCGGTACTTTCAAGCGTATATAACTGCTCATATTTTATTCAAGTATTATTCTCGAACTATTTACAGCTCGCAGGTTAGAAAATTGCCGCCTTACGTCAACTTTTAAAGTAGTAGTAGTGTTTGTATTATCTATGGTAGTGTTACTGTGTTAGTTAGTCTACTTACTAGGGATGCCAGATAAGAATCGATGTCGTAGGAGATAAATCTTTTACTATTAGGTCGAGAGGCATATTCGATTTTCGTTTTTTTTGAAATACGTCAAAAAAATCACTGTATATAGAGACTAGATTACATTATTGTAAGAATGCAATACTTTAGCTGACTCCCTGTTTAATTTAAAATGTTACCTGTTTTATTCGCTGCAAGTATTAAATATTTCTCATGTATTGAAAAAAAAGCCAGTATAACTAATTTTTTAAATGTTACTTATATACATCTTTTATACATCCGTCCCTGAAAATAATAACTCTTTATGTTTAATGCAACAATAATGCAACTTTATGTTCATAGAGGTGTGTTTTAGATTATAATAACAGTTTATTATTTATGTATATTTTTATTCCTTTCCACTTCCACGTTACACATTCTGTTGGTCAAATGATGCGTTGTGAAGCTTTTATTTCGATTGTCTAAAAATTCTTAAAATGATGAGTAAATAAGATTGTGTCATCGCATGAAGCGGTTTTTAAACTGACATGATTGTTGTCAAATATTGAGTTGACAAAAAGCTGTCAATGTCGTTTACCTACGAAAATCGTGAAAAGCGGTGGAAAGTCTGTGCATTATTTTAACTAAATCTATTACCTATTTATAAAATGGTATTATTTTAGTTTTAACTACACTAAGCTTATAAATTATATATTAGACCTTTGCTCTGAACAGGTGCGTGAAAAATTTAGATATTGTTCTATTTTATGGGTTATTAATATTTCATATTTTGAATTATCAAAGGGTGCGGTTTCAGGTGGCATAAGTGGAACTATGCCTGAACATTTGGAACTTCAACACCTTGTCGACCTGTCGGCGGGAAGCGGCGATGAAACACTCCCTAATTTACTTGAAAACAAGAGACCTTTGATAAAAAGATGCCCATACCTCGGTCTGATACTGGCGACACTCTCATCATTATTTTTTTCGTTATGTTCGGTCATTGTGAAAAGCCTAGACAATATTCATCCGATGCAACTTGCTATGTTTCGTTTTGTTGGAGTTTTGTTACCAACTGTCCCTATAGTGATCTATACAGAGCAGCCAATCTTTCCTGAAAAGAAACGGCTACTTTTAGTATCACGATCACTTGTTGGCACATTCGGTTTAGCATTCAGTTTCTATGCTTTCCATTATATGCCATTAGCTGACGCATCTGTCATAGTATTTTCAGTACCAGTGTTTGTTGCATTATTTGCAAGAATTATCTTAAAGGAACCATGTGGTATTTGGAATGTAATATCTATTGTGTTAACTCTTATTGGAGTTATATTAATCACCCATCCACCGTTTTTATTTGGTGATGACCCAGATGCTGAACACAATCCTAAATATGATAGTACAAGAGGTGCTATCGCAGCATTCCTCTCAACAATAATAGGCGCTAATGCCTATGTTCTACTTCGTATGTTAAAAGGGTTACATTTTTCCGTAATCATGACTAACTTTGGTGCTATTGCAATATTACAAACGTTTCTGTATTCATTAATATTTGGAGTTTTATGTATGCCCAATTGTGGCACTGAACGTATTCTTGTTGTTTGTTTGGCACTGTTTAGTTATTTAGGCCAAATATTGTTGACAATGTCATTGCAAATGGAACAAGCTGGTCCCGTCGCCATTGCTCGTTCTGCCGATATAGTGTTTGCGTTTTTTTGGCAGGTTATGTTTTTTAATGAGATTCCCGGTAAGTTCTCTATCTGTGGAGCTGTATTAGTTTTGAGTTCAGTAATGCTGGTTGGATTACGTAAATGGGCACTAGCATTGCCAGCTGATTCACAATTAAAAAGTAAACTAGGTGTGCTGGCACGATAATCTATAATTATTCAGTCTCACTTATATATATATATATAATAATATGATAGAATACTGCCAATTATAATTATATATTAATTGTTGCCATACTTATATTGCTAAGATTTAAATGTGTTTTTGACATTTCGTAAATATTTATTTCCCTTAAGCCTGCATTACAATGAGTATAACTTAATATAAGTATATTGAACAAGTTATGTAAAATTTATGCATTATATGCCAAATGATTTTTTAATTATTTTATCAGGGTACTTTTAATTGAAAAGTAAAAAAAATATTAAATTCTCTAAAGTCATAATGAATATGTTTTAAATAGATTTTTCATAATTTTTATTTTTTATTTTAGTTTTGATCATTTAATTGTCAGTACCTTCTCAGATCATTAGAATGAATATAATATTTTTAGTCTACAGATTTTGGATCATGTTATTTTTTTTAATTGTACTTTATTTTTTATTGCAAATCTGTAATTATTCCTTTATTCTAAAACCTGTATTTGTTGTAGCTTCCGTTCTCAAGTTTTTAAAACATTTGATGAACTCACTGCAATTGAAATTGAAACTTTTTACTTTAAATATATATAATTAAATAGAGACAGGAACAATAACTATTATAAATTGTAATTTAAGTAAAAAATTTCACCCTAAAAGACTGTTAAGTAAGTCCACTCTAACTTGTGTTGTGTGTTGGCCTCTAATCCTTATTGGCTTTAATATTTAGATCTTATTGTATACTTTCTTGTTGTAAAAACCTTTTTGCATATTAGTAATTTAATTATGTTGTTGTTTGCAAAGCCTATTCTTGTAACGCTGGTGAATTCAATCACTCTAAATGTTACATTTTATTGTTACATATCATCACTGTTGCGTTGTTCCTTATATTGATAGAGAGCATCCGTTTGAAATCATTTTAGCTGTTACATTAAATTTATATTTTTATTCTACATAGAATTAAAAAACTATTGTCACAATCACCTAGTCATTTGTAAGTAACTGCATACTAGTCATATTAATCTAGATATTTATGTTTAATAGATGCAAAACTGATATTTTTATAGGATCAAATTCATCTGGACGTGAATCTATTTAGTTTAAGTAGCTTTAAAGTTAATGTAGTAAAGAACAAATTTGTTTCAAGATTTATTCTAGTCATTGTTATTCTAATCATGGTACAATAGTGTAGTTCAAGTTTCTACAAGGGTCATACTTCTTTCTGATCAAGTCTGTTCTCTTCCGGCTAATTATGACAAGGACAAACGTTTCTGAACTGTTTTCTTTTAATTAAAATTACAGCACAATTATATTATTTGCACTATTATTATCAGTTATAATAATTCCATGAAGTTACCGAAGACACTCCTTGGTCTATCTGGTTATCATCATCTATGAGGGCATAGGCCTCCCCCAAGGTTCGCCACAACAACAGGTCCTGTGCTGCCCGCATCCAATAGCTTCCCGCGACCTTCACCAGGTCATCAAAGCACCCTTTGTTCGGAAACTGTCATAAGTAACAGGAGATACAGAAAACTAAGAACGGGAAAAGAATTCACTATTTTGTAATTACATATTATTTACTATGTAACATTTGTACACATTGTCGCCCGTTTGGAGTGTTTTTCCTGTAGTACACACATAGTGAAATACCCACAATACTTTCTAGTGCTTCAACTAAATAATTATTTATTTATTTGCGTGAATCGAAGAGTGAAAAAACGGGTTTTGCGCAACCTCTGACTGCTTGATTTAATAAAGATACACTCCGGTCGAATCATAACTTTCACAAAATATTAATTAGTGTCTAACTGCGTTTATATTATGATATGCTGTGCAATCATTTTAAATCAAACGACCTGTTTATACGTACAATCAACATCTATCGATACGTAAATTACCCTTCAAGGCGTATTTTAGGGTGCGCTTAAATATTTTTACGGCTAAATTGGTGTTGTTGACTGTACATAAATTGATTGGATTGTGATATTTTTACTTCTAGTCATAAATAGTATGTACACTGCTTAATTGATCAAATATAAAGTTAAAGACACGACCTTTTTTATTATATCCCTTTCTTTTTTGTTGACGAGGCGAAAAACCTTTTGATCTCTGGGTTAGTGAAGACACAGAAGCCCGGAGTATGTAGTTTTTCCATTAAAAAGCAAACCAATGGCACACCTAACCAGGTCCTACCCAGAGGGAAATTGCAAAATCTCCCCCTCTAGTCGATTGCTTTAATAACGGCGTGGTGGCCCAATCGCCTATTAATTCGACCAAGCCGTCACCCTATCTCCTACTACAGCTTCATAATGTGCCACCAGAGATCGGCACTTTCTGACAGCGATGCCGTCTTTAAATGTTGGCAAATTCTGTTTTACGGATTCGGCTCATCGGGTAAGAGGATGAGAAGGAGAAGATTTATGTTACGAACTGCATATATTAAGTTTCCTGCATCCATTCTTATAATAAATAGATAACAAAAAGTATTTTTTTTAATGTTAGAAGGGGCATACGAGCAGACGGGTCACCTGATGCAAAGAGACCATCGCCGCCCATGAACATCTGCAACTCAAGAGTCACAAACGCGTTGCCGGCCTTTTAGGAAAGAGTACGCTCGTTTCTTGAAGGTTTGAAGGTCGAATCGGTCCGGAAATACCGCAGACGATAACCCGTTCCACAGATTGGTTGTACGGGGCAAAAAATGTTTCGAAAAGCGCACAGTAGTGGAGCGCCAACTATCCAGGTGATGAGGATGAAAATTTTGCCCTGTGGAACGATGACGGAAAGTTGCTGCTGGTATTAGTCCCAACAATTGCTCGGAGCACTCTCCATGATATATGCGATAGAGAATGCAGAGTGAAGCCACATCTCTACGTAACGCCAAGGGATGCAGAGAGATGAGAACATTATTCCATATGCGACCGGACTTGTGCCTTATAGAGCTGAAGGTGGTGGGCCGGAGTGAAATACTGCCTCGATCTGTTTAGCACACCGAGCTTCTTCGAGGCTAATTTAACCTTACCCTCTAAGTGACCCCGAAACTGGACCCGATATGTCGATAGCCTATTATTCCGATGCTGGCTGAGGCAGTTAGGAAGGCGCTCTCAAATCAAGGTGATGCAACAAATGGCATCTTCTATGCGATGAACGCACAGACCTGTGTCTTTTTTGGGTTTGAACTGGACTAGATTTAGTAGGCCCTAATCTGAATCCTCCCCTAAGGAAGTTTCAATTTCAGACACAAGTTTGTTTCGAATCTCGATGACGATTTCCCGAGAAATATTGGGTCGGCTGTGCTATCATCTGCATAGCAATGGATGCTACTAGTTTACAACATGTCATTGATATGCAGAAAAAACAGTATGGATAGCACACAGCCTTGTTGGACACCAGCATTTACGAATTTCAAGTATGCACCGTCGACAATGACCTTAACCTTAACCGAAACTGGTGACCCAATTACACAATTTCTCGGGAAGTCCAAAGGAAGGGAGCTTCGAGAGAAGCGCCTTATGCCAGACCCGATCGAAGGCCTTAGCTATGTCCAAACCAACCGCACAAGCCTCTCCTTTGGTCTCGATCGTCTGTGCCTACCAGTGTGTTAGTAAGACGAGAAGATCACCAGCTGAGCGACCCCGGCGAAAACCATATAGTCAGTCATTGAGTAGCTGGTGATCTAAGTACCGGAGGAGCTGGCTGTTGAATCTGGGTTCCATACATACATCTTAGAGAACAAAGGGGTTATGACTATAGGCCTGTAGTTGGACGAGTCAGAGCGGCATAATCGCTACCTTCCAGGAGTTCGGGTCGACGCCTTGGGAGTAGGAGAGACGAAAAAGGCGCATTAAAACCGGGGGCAACTCCGGAGCACACATCTTCAACACGATAGGAGAGCTTCCATCAAATCCACACGTCGAGGGAAAAGAGATTTTTGTGTGAACCGGATATCCAGAATATATGTCGGATATCCGGTTCACGCAAAAAGTTTCCCCCGTCATCCAAAGTCGAGTTGGATGCAAAGAGTTTGCCTAGGAGATCAGCTTTCTCCTTGGCATCATAGGCCAACGAATTATCTTCCATCTGCAGGGGTGAAAAGGATTGGCTACAGGAATTCCCCTGGACCTGGCTTCGGAAACCTCACTCACTCGGTGAATGGTTGCATTTCATTGTGTGAGTGAGACAAATTGCTTTACGACTGGTTTTCGGTAAGGCCGCGGTATCGCACCGGTCTAACATTTTTGCCAAAGCATGGCAGTTGCAATTCAGCTCTGGCGACTGGTCGCTGCAAGTCGCGCGACCACTGGTAGTCGTGGGCACGTTGCACTGAGCCGTTTAGTTCTATACAATCTATCAAGTTAGCGCGAAGTCGAAGCCTCAAAGGTTTTACTTTTTCTTATGATTATTGTGGCAACATTAAGTAATCGTCGTTTAGGTCGTGCTAACTTGGGGAATTTCCCATTTATTAAAAAATTATAGTATTGATGTGTTTTAACATGTTCACTGCTGTCAATTGATGTTAGCTGAAACAGAAAAAATAATAAAATTTAATTTAAAAGACAAAATCAAAATATTCCAAATTTTGGTCTTTCATCCGTGCCGTGTTTTTCACGTTGAGAACTTTGAAGTAATAAAAGTAGAGGTCCATGTGGTCAAATGCTGGCAACACTCAGTGGTGCCAAAGTGTCAATGTCTTGGCTTAAAGGTCTTGTTACCAAGCCATAAAAATACAAAAAAAAAAAAAAAAAAAAGTGTCAATGCTGTCAAACCAAACTTCAGCATTTCGGATATTAACATCTGTAAGCTCGATTGTTTATATTTTTTGTAGCTATTCTCGTAATTCTAACTCTAAAACCTCGACCGATTACATCTGAAAAATGGCAGACCGTCTCACACAACTGCAAGATACCATAAATCAGGTAATTTTTGAGCTGTTTGAGCTTCTCTTATGAACAATCATGAAACAAGTATTGTAACTGTTTACATTTTTTTAACAGCAAGCTGAACACTTCTGCAATAGCATCGGAATATTGCAGCAGTTCTCTACACCTAGTAAGTTCCCTGGCTTCGACCGTAGCGGGTCGCAAACGCCTCAACAACAACAGAATCAAGAGGATTATGCCATGCTCTTTGCTACGTTGATATCTCGATGTGCTAAGGATATAGATACACTGATTGAGTCGCTCCCTAGTGAGGACAGCTCTACGGAACTGCAGGTGCAAAGTCTGAGGCGTTTGGAAGCTGAAAATAAAGAGGCTGCTGAACAATTAGAAGAGGTAAATGAAAAGTCTGTTTGTAACATACATGTTTGCGTTGAAAGCCAATTCTCGTGATAAAAGTTCGGTCTCAATTCAGTTCCGATCAACTGCCGCCCTTTTCGGCAGTTGTCACTTGTCTAAACTTGTCATAAGAGTAATTCAACGGGCCTGTTGGTCTAGGGGTTAGTGACCCTGACTGCTATGGTTGTGGGTTCGATTCCGAACCAGGACAATTAATTGTGTGATGAGCATGATGATTTCTTCGGAGTCTGGGTATAATTTATCTATAATATGTATGTATTTAGAAATATATAAGTATGTTTATCAGCAGTCTGTTTACGATAGCACAGGCTCTGCTTAGTTGGGAATCAGACCGCCGTGTGTGAGATGTGTGAAATTATTATTATTATGATTCGGCTTATCTTTAAGGAATAATATTTACAAACTCAACCAATGCCCTTTTTGGAACCAAGTTCCTTATCGTGCATTACACTCTCTGAGCGGATAGGAGTGAGACCGAAAAATCTGTCACAAGATGTTTTGCCGACACTACCAAAAAGCGAAAGTAAATTCGTTCCGACTGTGGGCCCATAGACCCCTCACCCTGTTTTTATTTATCATTTAGAAAAAATAATTAGAATGACTTTACAATAATAGCAACTAAAACACCACCAAGATTTCTACTTGTGATATCTTGAGTCTGTCTATATTGTCAACAAATCAAAACTATAAGAATAACAAATAGATAATGAAAACATTATACCAACAGCACAAAAGAAAAAAGAATCTCACACTACTATTGATTTTTATTTCTCAACATTAATCAGAAAAAAATTCAACAGGTTTGACAACAAGTAATAATATTAATATATGTTTAGGTTTAGTCATCTGTGGACCTGAGCAGCTGAATCATCATGAAATTGTATTATTTTTTCAATTTTAGGTAGTCCGTCAAGGTGAGATCCTGCTGGAGAAGATCCAGGGTGCACTTAGCGACATTGCTCAGTCCCAACTTGATATGCAAAATCCAGCTCTAATTTTGAATAAGGATGTGAAACCTCAATTATAGGGCTTAAGGAATTGTGGTAACTATTACCAACGGTGATGATCTTAATGAACACTTGTTCTAATTTGAGTTCTAAAAACTATATGTGTGAAATATTATGCTGTTTTGATTATATATTTAAGATACTGCACTAGAAAAACCATAAATATCCAGTACTCGTACAGTATTTCGGCACGTAATGGCAAAGTCGCAATCGGTCAAATTCATGAAAATCACAGTCCGTCAAAATAGCTAACCATCAAAACAAAATAGTCAGCAAAAAAATCACTTACTTAAATCACTACTAAGAAAACGTAAAACAAATGATATTTGGTTCTCGAATAGCGGCGATTGCGATCTTACCTGTTTTGCTAATTTGGCCAGTCTCGATTATTAAATTATGTGAAATTTTATAAATAAAACTAGCTGAGACCCGCGGTGTTACCCGCGTTTGATGTTATAACCGCGGGCAACGCCGCGTGGTGAAGCTAGTCTAAAAAAAGTAGCCTAAGTTACTCCTTATGTCATCAGCTATCTGCCAGTGAAAGTCCCGTCGAAATCGGTCCAGCCGTTCCAGAGATTACCCGGAACAAACAGACAGACAGACAAAAATTGTAAAAAATGATATTTTGGCATATGCACCGTGCAAACATACATATGCATTTAGTAAAAAGCTGTTATTTTAATATTACAAACAGACACTCCAATTTTATTTATTTGTATAGATTACCTTTTCGCGAAATGGACCAATCGTTATTTTGTAAAAAAAATACTCTGAGCAAACACTTTTCAGCTTTATTATACTTATTAGTATGCAATAATACGGATACTTAAACAACATGCAATCAAACCAAATCTGTTGATTCAAACCTTAGGGATTTTAGTAATTGATATATATATATGTATATATGAGAACTCTTATGTAGCCTTCGATCAAACAAACTAACGAAACTGTGCTTACTTCACCGAGTTTAGTTGTGTTCGTGTATCGATAAGTTAATTTGATCGAAGTAGGTATAGTAGCATAGTATTATTAAAGTAACTGGCAGGACTTTTTCGTTAACTCTGCCGACAACCGAATGTGTAGTAAAATTTTCACTAATTATCTAAGCTTGTCTATTAAAATAGAAATGTAAAAACATTTAAATAATGTAAAATTATTTTTACGGGTATTAACGGCCAACAGAATTGGATTTCTGTGCATCCAGAAGGCCAATTCTCGTAATACAAGTTCGGTCAAAATTCAGTTCCTATCAACTATCGATCTCGCAACTGTCATAAAAAGTTTTAAACATCCAACTTTTACTGTAAAGTATCTAAATAATCGTATTGTAACTGACATTTGAATCGGTAATCTGCTAGTCTTAGTAATATTTTACTACGAAAATACCTTTAAGACAGTTGCGAGATCGAGTGTTGACCGGAATTGATTTTTGACCGAACTTTTATTACGAGAATCGGCCTTGGTTGAAACTTCAAGCATTTCAAAGGTATGTACTTAATACCTATCGTGGTTTCCAGTAAACAGCTAACATACAAACGATGGTTGTACATATTATGGTGTTGCTGTTAAATTAGATTTTAGAATATTATTTAATCTCTTAGTTAAGTAAAAAATGAACCAATGTTAGCCGTTTTACTGTAAATTAATACATATGTATAGAAAAAAACTATGAGAATTTTAAACTTTTTGTATATGAATAGTTCGGAATTGATAGTAAAATATACTTTATAATAACTTTGTTTTTTTTTTCTTTAAGTCTAGTACCTGAACCTTCATTATTTAGAGAAATCTAAAATATGTGAGAGACATAATTTAATAAAATGTACTTAAGCATTATTTAAAATAGTTTTCAGACAAGGGCCATCTAGTGATGGCTTTATGACTACAGAAAGTTGTTTAGAAGTCGCAATAGATGGCGTTTGCGTGATCAACATACAAGTTTATTTTATAAGTAATCAGATTTCTATAATGAGACAAACCTTCACATACATACAAATAGTGTAAATGTGCTCAATGAATAAGCTGTTCCGTGCTTTGGAAATTATAGCTAGAGGCCTGTTGATTTTTCTAATTGTTCTGAACGAAATACATTATGATGATAAAATAGTAATTCCTAATTTGTTGAGGTGTCCCTTTCAAGTCCATAAATTACTTAATTGACTTGAGAGGTGATTTCTGATAATACACACCTAATCTGGTATTATGTGGAACATAAGGGTGAAAATAGTTTGATTTTCACCCTTATGTAACACCCGCCGACTCGGTTAGTCTCCGTTGAAATGGGCAGGCTCTAGGAAGGTCGGAGCCGTCATCTACCTAAGTAAGGCCGGTCTCAGTCGGCGTGGAATGTCGTGTGGTGTTCCGCAGGGGGCGGTGTTAGAGCCTCTCCTGTGGAATATCCGCTAGACCTGGATCCTCCGCGGTGCCTTCTTGGATCGTGTCGCCGTCACGTGCTACGCGGACGACACGCTCGTGACGGCATGCGGTAAGGCGCACCGTGAGAATCGGGTGCTGGGACTCGAGGTTTCTCTGCACAAGTCTTAGGCCTTGTCCTTTCATGAGCCTCGCAGGGAGCCACCCAACTCCCAAATCCCAACTCTGCCGGGTCCTCGTAGAGAAGTGGAGGTACTTAGATGTAGGAAGTACTTGGGCAATGAAGCGCCGGGCAATATAGTTATTATAGCGGCGGTACCTAAGACCCGTTGTGGAGGATTGGCTTGCGAGGAAACACGGGACCGACTGACTGACTGTGTCTGATCAGCAAAGAACGCCACCATTGCGGTGGCCATAGCGTAGACACGGCGTTTCACACGCTTGGTGTGGGTGGAGCAGAGGCGTGGCCTCGTAACGGCTATCAGAGTGAGGATTCTCTAGCACGGTACCATAATTGCGGCCATGGTACGGAGCGATGCCGCGTGAACTTCCGCCACCTCCTTCTGCGAGAAAGTTATACTCGAGAAGGAGAGGGTGGAGCAGTCCCTGAAGAGGTTTAGAACTCTCCCAGTGCGCCTGGCCCGGGAACGGGCCAGGTACTGCGGGCGGCGAAGGTCGCTGGATGACTCCCATCCTGCAAGTCTAGGTGTGACAGGTGAGGCCATCTGTCACTAAAAAAAAGAAAGGCCGGATGTCTTAATAATAGCTGTTATCGGGATCCCTCATATTTCAGGCGCAGTGTGTGGCTTTAGTCGGTTCAATTCCGATACAAACCCCGGTGGTGTGACAGCTTATGGAGGTTTCCACACGTAAAAAAATAAAGTTCTAGTTAAGAAACGACAACTAAAATTTAAAGTAATCACTACCACGCATTTAATAATGTCAACTAGTATCTATTAATAAGGTAGTATGGGCAATAGAGAAATGCGGGGGGCGTCGATGAGATGCTTGCCTAGGACGCTCTTGGTATTTAATCCGCCTCTCCACAGATTGTTGTTCTGAGCCCGATACGAGAGTTCTTTTTTAAAAAGAAAAAAAGGAAGTCTCGGTTGGGGAATCGATATTGAGGGCTTCGTCGTGTGCCGGTGTGAGATGATATAGACAGATCTATGTTTGGTAATTTTTTACAAAATTAAAAATTAAGTTAGTGTTACTAATAGTCTCTCAAAAAGTGTATGTGGTTAGTTAAAAAAAATGTAGAAAGTTGAAGTCTAAAGATATGTGGATCACTCAATTAGTGTGTGCTTAGGTATTTTTAATTTTTAATAATTATGTTGCCTTTCCTATTCTATCGCTTTTTAATTGTAAGTCAGAAATGAAGATTTTTCCCAATAACTTCCAAAATGGCTGTCTTCCACTGCAGAAAACTATCTTTTCTTTTTTTTTGTCATTAGTAGTGGCCTATATTTTACATGTTCATACGTGGACTGCTAAAATGTCTCTACGGAATACGCCAGTGCTGGCATAAGTACTGAATCAGCGACCGGGATATTTAAGAACGGAAAGGGTTAACCACGGATAAATTCAAAAGCTCGATGAATATAAAATTTTAATTATTTTTTTGCACTATAGGTACTTATTAGGTCAGGAACTTTAAAGTATCATTTTTGGTACAAATTAACTAAAAATAAATATACATATTACTACATATATGTTAAGAACATATTAAAAAAATCCTTAATTAAAAATAATAGAGAAGAGTACTATAGGAAACTATAAATGTTCTTTGCCCATTCATATTTAGAACAGGGGCCCTGAGAATGCGTATAGAGTAAGAGTACCAAAGCTCCGTAAACGTTTGGCCGTCTTACTCCACGAGACATTGATATTAGTGAAAAATGCAACATTCACATTTGTAACAACATCTGACATGTTACAACCAAGTCAGGTATTGCCAGGTATTGGTCAAATCAAATAGCGCCCGTTTACCTTACTTCCTCTTAAATACTTCTATTATTAGTATTTAAGTGGCTATAAAAACGCTATACCAAACCGCCTAGCTAGCTAGGCGGTTTGGTATAGCGTTTGTATAGCGTGGAAAGGTAGGCCAAAATCTCCTTTCTAAGGAGAGGCCTATGTCCAGCAGTGTACAAATTAGCTGTTGATGCTGATGGTGCTGTAAGAATATACACATCTAGTATCTCACTCTCCTGTTATTACTGGAACTCCTTTATCACGAACACATCGAGTTTTGACACTTGGGAAGTCCCAGGAAAAGTTAAACTGTCTTGGAATCCGCAATATACGTCGCTATACGACCTAATAGGTCTCAGATGGATCCAGGAGATAAAATCACCTTTTCGAATTAAATTATAACAAAAGTATCATCCTTGGTTAATTTACCCAAAAGTTTTTTTCAAAATTTATTACACATTGGTACATTAAACAAGTATATTATGAGTAATTGCGAAAGTTAACACTTGGCGTCGTCAAGTTTACACTTTCAGTAATATTGAGGTTGTCTCAAATCATTCTGGCAATGGTCAATTATAAATATAATACTTATAAAATAAAAACATTATGCAAATCTTCGATGCATTGACCAAAGCGTGAAGTGTTTAGAGATAAAGCATAAAATAGTAAGTGA